GAGAAAGTAGGAGAGGCGTGAGGAGGTGAAACGGACTGTGGGCCCAGAGATCCTATTTATAGAGATGACGTGGAATACGAAACGTCGCACCGGGGAGCCACAAATCTCCCCCATGCTCGACACCTACTCACCTAGATAATGATGGCCCTATTCACTAGGGCGGCATTGCAATTTCCAAGGACCACACCACGTGTCCGATAGACACAACCGACGCATCTCCACGAGCAATCCTCAAGCACACCTCGACATGGAAAACCCGGCATCAGACACGAAGTCCCCGCGAAAAGGCGAACTAGGATCAAGTCGTAACTCCTATGCCAGGAACAACGACTTGGGGGGCTCCTGTTCTGGACTGGGCCTGCCCTTGGCCCAAATCACAAGTAAGGCCCAGATCCAAGTTGTGCCCCAGGTTATGGTGGAAACCAGAATCCCCGAGTGTACCCAGTCACGGGCCATTACGAGTAGGCCCACTACTGCCCGCGACGAGAAACGTCCCCGACACGGACACCCCAACTCGAGCCCTGCTCGAGCATCTTCCCCGTAGGACAGACTCAGTCCTTCCGGATTCTTCAGAATCTTTAAAGCTCTGAGAAGACCGCGTCTCTGGTCTTCCTTGTTCTTTGTAGAGCATCACCCAGGAAAGGGACCACGTGCAGGTCCCCACTACACACGTAGAACCTGGAACTCCCTTTGTTGGGCCAGTTTTGGTCAACCCAATAAAGGGACCTTGGCCCAGCGCTGGGGGCTATAAATACCCTCTGTTCCAAGAGGGTCAGGTATTCATTCTCTAAGACACCTATATACAATTTTCTTGCTCATTCCTTCACTTACTTTATCATCGGAGTGCCTTGCAGGTACCCCCCATCTCCCAGATCCAACTCGAGCCAGTTGTGATGGTCCAATTCTGATCCGGTAAGATCAGATATCATCTACATATAGAACCAAGAAAATGAATTTACTCCCACAGAACTCTTGGTACACACAATTATCAACTGGATACACCTCAAAACCAAATGAGGATATAACTTGATGAAATTTGTAATACCATTGATGAAAAGCTTGTTTAAGCCCATAGATGGATTTCTTGAGTTTACTAACCATAGACTTTGGGTCTCCTGACACAAAATTTTCTAGTTGCACCATATATATTGTTTCTTCAATGGTGCCATTTAGAAATGCAGTATTTACATCCATCAGATGCAACTTTAAATCAAAATGAGCTACTAATGCCATCATGATCCTAAGAGAATATTTGGTAGACACTGGAGAGAATGCCTCTTTATAGTCAATGCTTTCCTTTTGTGTAGCACATAACAAGTAGGAAAGACCTTTTCAATTGAATTCATAAAAGCGGTATCACGGTCTATGACAAGGTGTGTCTTCTTTCTCCTTCAACATTGATCGACACAAATCTAAAGCCCAAGTAACTTTTCCTCTTTTTGGCTCTTTAGAAATGCAAAACTGACAGAATAAGTCTTCTAAGTCTTCTTTGTCCTTCAACAGTGATTGATACAAATCTAAATCCCTTTGCAATTGAATTCATAAAAGTGGTATCATAGTTGATGACAAGGTGTGTCTTATTTTTCCTTTAACATTGATCAACACAAATCTAAAGCCCAAGTAGCATTTTCCTCTTTTTGGCTCTCTAGAAATGAAAAAATGATAGAATAAATCTTCTCAGTAGAGGTAACACCAACAATTTCTAAAAGTGGAAGCTTGTACTTGTGGTCTTATAAGATGAATAAATGATGAGCACAATATAAAATATGTTGAACAACTTGATGGAATTAAGATGAGTCCAAAATATATCTTGAACAATTACTCCATCCTCGCAAGTTTGGTACCTAGATACATAAATGTTATTATCCAGAAGTTTCAATTGTTATTGCTTTTTCAGTTTTATCCCCCCTCAACACCTTGTTATTAATATCCCAAATATTATCGCTTGTTTGATTTTGAGATATTTTCGAGTACTTTACGTGTCAAAGTTGCAATTATGTTTTTCAATTGCACCATTTTCAATGTTACGTCTGAAATAATTTCCTTCTCTTTCGGCATGATGTGACATGCGATTGAATGACTGACTAGTTTTTCACACATGTCATGGTTATGTAAAACACATATCACATTAAATATCTATTTTTTATTTTACAACCGATAACCACACAACTTAATGTGGCACTCATATTTTCTTGAACTAGTGTCATCCCATTTGAATTTCCGGAAAGAAGTTCTATACTTTCCACTTATTTCGAATCTCATTGTCACAAGTAAAAATCTTCTATATAAAACATTGACTTCCCTTCCAATTACAATAACAAACCCCAATTTAGATTTCTATGTGCAAATCCATTGAAGCATATGATCACAAAATTCAAACTCTTCTTTGTTGGAACAAAATCTATTCACAATCTTTGAGCTCATACTCATTGGGTTTTGATGATAACAAAATTAATTACATAAAAATAGAGTATACTAATGTTTGGTTAAGTGTGCAAGATCATTAAGCTTATAATTAACTAGGTTTTGACCCAGTCAATGGCTTGCAAAGAAGAAGCGAGTAAATCCAGATTCTAACAGACCATAAATTTCGTATAAGACCTCAGCGCCATATTATTTTAGTATCTGATCTTCAAATGCAACTTCAGAGCTACATTGACTTTGCCTCTGATGATTTAAAAAAAACTTCAAGCGCTCTGCTAGAAACACAATACAAGCTCTTTTGTCCGTACTCTGTGCGAAAGCAAATCCATCTTGTCAACGACTAGAATTATGGAGCAAGTCAACTAGAGGTTTTAGCACAAGACTCAAGGCTAATAATATGATTTCTTTAGTCTACTATCCCATGCCTATGGACGCCTTACTTGAGATATACACAATGGATAAAGCAATTATTTAGAAGATGAAGATCTTCATCGTACCAACTCCAATGTCTCTCTCTTGGAAACCACTTCTTCTGCAAAGACACCTGTACAAGAAATCTTCCAACGTATCTTTTGTTCCCTGTATATAAGGAGCTAAAGATTCAAACAAAGTAACAAGAATAATATGAAAAGAACAACAACATAAATCAGAATATTGCAAGAATTGTCTCTCACTCCAAGTTACAGTTTATAATTATTGTATTGCACATAGACTTAAAAGGTTCTTACACTTGTATATCTTAGAAATGTCAAGTATCAAGGTCTTTGCGTGTGCTGTATCATTTGTACCTCTGATTGAATATCAGGTACACCTTATTGTAATTATAAACAATTTGTTTAAAATTTGTAAAAGTCTCAAACTGAGTGTTTAAGCAAAGAAGTTTCAGGTTGATTGTTTGAGAAAGGAAGTATCTTTCTAGTTTGGTTGTGCAAGGAAATCCTGAATAGTTATGTTTAGGCAAGGAAGTCTCTTTCTAGTTTGATTGAGCAAGGAAGTCCTGAACAGTTAGTTTAGGCAAGGAGGTCTCTTTCAGGTTAATTGAGCAAAGAAGTCCTAGACAATTGGTTTGGGCAAAAAGTCTCTTTCTAGTGAGATTGAGAAGAAAGTCTTGGACTGGTGTGTCTAAGTAAATTGTAATCAAGTTATGATTATGTGAAAAGCTCTTGTGTGGCAAGGGGGTTGGACTAATCTCGTTATAGAAGAATCGTGATAACTTTGTATTGAATTTACTTATTGCTTCTGCACTTTAAATACAATTCAACTCCACTTCTTGTGTATTTTCCTACCTTCATTCTCCATTTGTAAATTGGTTGGCAACATCCACCTCCTTCACTTCAACATATCAGACATTTGTAGACACAATAGGTTTTGGATAAACACTGGGGTACATCATATCTAATGCAAACAGTAACATAAAATATTCAATGACAGTTGAAAATGATAATAGACAATATTCGGAAATGTACTTTTGTAGGAGTTCATAAAGAATAAGAAAATGTATTTCCGGAACCAATGTAACTTTAATCAGTTTTGAAATAAGATTAATGTGAGCAATAAGGATTGAAATACACGATCTTACCTTAAATTTCAGGTTCTTTTGCTCCTTTTGATGTAGTGAAACACAAAATTGAAATTTTGGAGTGAAAACCTTAAATGAAAATGGAAGGATTTTTATAAAGGGTTTGGAGTAAAAATAATTATGGAGTATGATCATGCAGGGTACCATTTTATTAAAAATCACATTTGATATATCAAAAATTGAATCTCCAAAAATGACTGAAATGGAAAAGTGACAGATTTTCAAATTTTCATTTCCCAAATTAGAAAATGCACTCTAGAAAAAATCATTGAATTGTTAAATTAAAAATAAATTGATAAATATTTATTTTTTAAAATATATAGGAGGAGGCTTAATTGAGACGTGTTTTAGTGATGAATAATATGCATATCCAAAAATGGAGGAATATTTTTGAATTTTTTTAGAGTAGTTTTCCACCACTTTAAATGAGATTAACAATTCCTAAATTATGTTTATCCGCCGCTATAAATTTGTATTTCTTCAATTATAGAAATGATGCTCGGTTATTTTTAAGCATTCTCACAATATTATTTGTGCTTTCAAAAGCATAAAGTCATGATAGAAAAATAAAAAAATAAAATTTTTTTATTAATAAAAGATAATATCTTAAAATTAAAGTAAATAGTCTCCCCATCATTATTTCAACTGAAGTTTAATTTATTTTTTAAAATTATATATTTAATAATAACAGTGCGGGTGGTGCATGGGAGGCCAACACAAAGTCGTTGCTTGAAAAAAAAACTAAACTAAACATTATTAAATAATTAATAGCTTAAAAAAAGATAAATAAAAGAAACAAACTTTGGCTACATTTTAAAGATAATGTATATAAGCGAGAAAAAATAAGAGAGTTTGTTACTAATTATTTAACTATCTTATCATTATAAATAACATGGTTGGTAGTCTCAAATTGTTAACCTAATTAAACCATTATCACTAAAAACCATCTTATTTCCCTCTTTGTTTCTTTTCAAAAATCATTTGTTCCTTCTTAACAATGAATACTATCAAACCAAACAAGGGTTTTGCAGCCTGCAAACATCAAAGGAGAAAGTGTTCATTAAAAGATTGTCTTTTAGCTCCTTATTTTCCGGCCAATAAACCAATAAAGTTTCACAATGTTCATTGTTTGTATGGTGTTGTTGGCATACTGAGGATTCTAAATGAAGTTCCAGAAGAGAAGAGAGATTTAACAATGAGAACAATTATTTATGAGTCAAATGTTCGTGCGATATATCCGATTCACGGATGTGTTAAGGTTATTAAAGAATGTTGTGACAAGATTAAAGAGAATTTTGAAGAGTTATATCAAGTAAAAAAGTTACTATATTATTGTAAAGTAAATCATTTACAATCACAAATTCCAAATCTTCAACCACATTTTTCAATGGGTCATTCTTTGAGACCTTCTACAAGTTCTCTAAACCCAAATCTTCAACCACATTTTCCAGTGGATCATTCTTTGAGAGCTTCTACAAGTTCTCAAATTCCAAATCTTGAACCCCAATTTTTAATGGATTATTCTTTGAGAGCTTCTATTAGTTCTCAAATTCTAAATATTCCAATATTTAACAATGTTGGTGATAACCCTAATTATTATCACAATAGTGAAAATAATATATAAGCTATGATGAATGCATCTCCACCTAATACAAATTGGAATAAAAATTCAAGGGTTACACAATTGAGTGAAGGAGTCTCCAATAATAAAGAATCAGATCTTTTTGGAAGTGTTGATACACATATTAGTGCAAAAGATGATTTGAATGAAGAGGAAAAACAATTTGTTGATGATTTATTCATTTCAGATTCTGATATTGATAGGATTTATTAAGGTGATTAACAATCCTTTGTAGAAAAATATTCATCTCAAAGGTAACAAGTATATGATTTTATAACTTTTTTTATTATTTCAATAATTTTTTTCTCTTTTACGTAAAAAGTTCACTAATGCAGATTAATGGATAGGGCAAATACAAAGAGTAAATTTTGTGGAAAGAAGATGTAATATCTGTAACAAATGATATGTCGTTGATGCTTTGTTGATGAGAAATAGGGTTTTTTGGTCTTGGAAGCTATGAATTTCAGAATGGGTACAATGGCATGTTTTGTTTTTTTTTTTTGTTTTTTTTACTGTACAATGGCATGTTTTAGTAGAAAAGAAATTTGATTTAGTTTTATTATTAACTAAGGTTTTTTTATATGTTTTTATGGCATTTTATATTGATACATTTATACTAGTTTGATATAATTGATTCATTTGCTATTGCTTTTTTCTTTTATACAAGGTTTCTACTCTTTCATCTTTAGAATTTTATATGATTATTTATAGCAATGATTTTATTTATTCTATTAAAAAACTAATTTTATTTATAGTTATTTTTAAAAACATTAATATATCTATTAAACACCTATATTGGTATGTAAGCCTTTATTATAGTCGGTTTTCAAAAAAGTTATCTAATATTTAATTTTAAAAAAAATAAACAATGCATGTTCTTCTTTTTTATAATTTTAATTTTAATTTTTTTAGTTTATAATTTTTATATTAAACCAACCATCTTTTATATAAATTATAATAAACCATTTAGGGAAAATTAGAGAGACTTTGTCAGCATTTTTATGGACAAACCTAAAAAGCAGTTCCATAGATATTCCAATTAAAACGCTGTACGTAAATTAATTTTTTCCATGTCATCCATTTTAATTTTAATTAAACTATCATTGTCATTTCTCACGTTGAAGAATAAACTTTCCTCAATTATTGTCAACATTGATTATGATAATTGAATGAATAAAAAAAATTAGGAGCCTAAGCGGATCCGACAAAAACAAATTAAATTGATAATTAAATTCAAATTAAATTGAAATAAAATCGTTTGTTTTTGGTTTGATTTTAAAATCGAATCGAATCAATAAAAATTGATGTTGTTTGGTTTAGTTCTCAGTTTTTATTTTTAAGAATCACAAAACTAATGAACTGAACCAATGAATATAATTATACTCTAAATTTTTTTATTTTTTATTAGATACATAACTTTATTGGACTTTAAGTTTCTCTTTTGGGTCTTAGGATTATGTTAGCTTGGCCCATTCATCTTTGTATATATTGTAACATACCTCTTAATTTGGTTCAATGAGATATCAGCAAATTCCTTTATTCAAACTTTTCCTTTTTCCTTTCATCTTCTCAAGACGGGTTTATCACTTGTAACATAGTATCAGTAGACTATACATTCATTCTTCTTTTCACCTTCCGCAATATTTCATTTCATTCTTTATCCTCTTATCAATCGTTACATTTGTTCCCTTTTCTCCATACATTCATTCTTGATTTTTATACCTTCCCATGTTCTTGTTTTTCTTCTTTCATCCTTCTCATTCTTCAACAATGGCTTATGGTGATGAATCAAACCCCCCGGTACCCCTAAATAAAGTTTCAATAACACTCCCAAAAACACCGCAACAAATCCTACCCTTAACCCTAATGACTCGTTCTATGTTCATCCCAGAGAAAATCCTGGCGCCACCATTGTCGCTCCACCCCTTGACGACAACAAATACCATAACTGGAGTCGATCTATGTGTCGTGCCCTAACCTCTAAGAACAAGATATCTTTTATCAATGGAAAACTCACGAAACCTTCGATTTCCGACCCCAATTATGAACTCTGGGAACGTGCTAATAACATGGTTCTTTCATGGATCAATTAGACTCTTTCCCCTCATATTGCTCAGAGTACGATATGCTTCAATTTCACGTTCGAGCTGTGGGAGGATCTCTGTGAAAGATTCACAAAAGGTAATCATTTCAGATTTTTGGATCTCCTTCGTGAATTACATTCAATACAACAAGGAGATGGATCCTTGTCTGCTTATTTTACTACCTTGAAGATTCTTTGGGATGAACTAGAGGATTTAAGACCTACTCCTTCTTGCACTTGCCCTACACCTTGCACTTGTGATTTAGCCAAGGTTGTGCGCAATTACAAGCACACAGAGTATGTTACGTGCTTTCTGAAGGGCCTCAATGACTATTATCACAATATTCGCACACAGATTCTCTTGCTTGACCCTCTTCCTAGCATTAGCCGTGTCTACTCCCTCATTTCTCAACAACAAATCATTTCTTGTTTTTTTTAACTTGAACCGCTTTCATAAAAAACTTAGATTTAGATCCATTCATTTTCAAAAAAAAATCTTAATAAAGTCATCAATCAATCTTAATCAAGATATGACTTCTTTTTCCAATACTTAAAAAATACAAAACAAATTCAAACCTTTTGCTTCTTTGGCTTTTTGTCTTTAAAACCTTTTTCTTAAAATTAACCAACACATAAAACTTTTCAAATTTTTTAAGAAGAACTACGAGTGCCCTGATCCTCTATTGCACTAAGAGGGTACGTAGGCACAAAAGGTTTGCAACCGCGGTGAGTGAAAAAATTGTAAGAATAACTTCTTTTCTCATCTCCACAATCTCATTTTATAAATATTTCTTTATAGCCAAAATACACAGATTTCCAAAGAGGTTATTGCGAAGTACCGTAGACGCTTAGGATGCTAATACCTTCCCTTTGCATAACCAACTCTTTAACTTGATCTCTTTCTTACTTCAGGTTTTATTCTCTCTTTTCCCATTCCTTTGGATAAAATAAAAGTGCGGTGGCGACTTTTACTTTGTGAGTTAAGTCAATCAATCACTTAGTCTCAAATTTTTGCCGCTACACTAAGCATACAACTCAATAACATATCCTCTCACCTCACCACCGTAGGGGGCTTCTCTCTGTTGTGGGAAATCACTAACCACCATATGTAACACCCTAAACCCCAAGTATAATTTATAAAACATTGCGAAATATATGAAGATAAAAGCAAAGATGTCACATTGACAAAAACCTTTCAATTGATATTTCAAATGCACAATTGAAGTCAAAACATAACATCATAAAACATATCAAAGTTATATGTTTAAAACAATTTAGTAACATAACAAAATCCCCAACCCTATGTTATAATATCATAGTGACACCGAATACAAAACTAGGCAGTCAATAAAAGATACGGAAAAATATAAGAAAACTATTAAAAAGGCCAACTATGACATCCTAGGTAACCAATGTTATCACTCCTCAGTCTTAACCCGACGATTACTTGTATAAAGTGCAAAAGTAGAAACATAGAGACAAGAAAGGGGTGAGAATATATTCCACAATTTAAATGGTGTATAAATAGCAAGGATAACATATATCAAACATATTCAGTCAAAACAGATGTACCATATACAAATTATTTGTGCAATGCGTATTTCCTATACTCTCATGCACATGATACCATTCTTCAACACTGAACCGAAGTCCTATAACACTGGATATTCGAGTTATTTTACTGAGTGATCCTCAACACTACACTAAAGTCCTACAACACTGTACCAAATTCCTAAGCCTATCTCCGATATACATGATGCATGATCAATCAAACACAAAAAATCTCCATCCGAACCTCCTACTCCCATTCTCATGCACTAGTCAAAACACTGGATCAAAGTCGTGCAACATTGGACCAAATTCCTACAACACTTGACTGAATTCCTACAACACTTAACCAAAGTCTTGGATATTAGAGTTATTTTGCTGAGTGATTCACAATAGTGTCAGTTAAGGCTAACATTGGTTCTTTTGAACCTAAAACATATCAACATTAATTCTCCCGAACCTAAACATATCAACATTGGTTCTCCCAAACCTAAACATATCAACACTGGTTCTCTCGAACATAATCATAAATCATATCAACACTGGACTTGCATCCTAACCTTAATAACTTAACTCGTACACGTATTATCAAAAATTGAACTTGTGTCCTAAAACATTAACAACTTAATATAATTCACATAGCATCTTATTAAAACAACCCCAAAATCATGTTTCTTGCTAGTCATACCTCAAATTCAGAATTTTAAATATCAAATAAAGTCAGAATTAAGCAAATGAATATGTTTCAGAAATATAAGAGGGACTTTTTTAAGACTATTGTTTTTATTTTAGGACTTAATATCCCAAACTGTTTAGTTTAATCAAACAATAGGAACAAGTACAAGCACTGGGAAGAATGTTTAGTCAGACTTGTAACTAGTATTTCTCCTACTGAACTTAGTGGAATGAGATTCTTATTAATTTTAATATGTAGGAAATTTTGTCTATTTTTTTATGATATAAGATATACTCTTAAAGGACTTGTGTATAGTGAGTTGTGTCCAAATTACTAACAACATGTAAAATAGTTGTGCTGCAGAGTTTTAAAAACATTAACTAAACTTGCAATTAAGTTTTCTAGGATTTTCCATAACGGAATTGATTCGGATCGTAATCTATTTCTTATTAAATATTATCTAGTTTTTAATAGTCTCAGTTTTATTCTTAAAAGATCTAGGTCACTAAAGTTATAAGCAAATGACTAACATGGTATACTAACCGAAAGTTATAGAAATTAATCGACATATGGTAAAAACAATACTTAAACATCTATTATCATTGCTAATCATCCTATACCATTGGTTTGACATATAATTTTTCAAATTAAGTACACTTATATTCAATTACAGCACTAAACTCATGTCATGTACAC